ACTTTTCCTTCTTGTCTCTAAGAACCTAGAAGCTGTAAACTTGTATTAACTACAAGTGTTATCACTTAAAAGTTGATGTGCTTTTCAGTAATGGTTTGGTTTTTTTTCTGTTTTTTTTCCTGGAGGAAAGGCAGGGTGTGATACAAGGAGTGTGCATACATGTGTGTGCATGTATGCATAGGATTTTTCATACAGGCAAAATGGCAACAGCAAACACCTGTGATTTACAGCACTTAAATTTCCATTAAAGCCTTAGACCAGCACAGCAGATTCAACATTCAGCCATACAAGGCAAGAACATAACTGAGGTTCGTTTTCTGTGTATTTTCTCTTTGGCTTCACAGCTTTCCTTTTATCTGCCATCTCCTGTCTTCACATATGCACAAGTTTAACATGATGCAAGCTGTCCGTGATCCTGCTGCTGAGGAATGCGATATTATGTCTTCTCTACCCAAAGTGCTGAAGGCTGTTAGGTACAAATGTGTTGCTGATGTACAGTTCATCAGGCATTTATATCTGCTTTCTGATTTTACTTGTAGCACTAGCTGTAAAGAGGAGCTCACCGGCAGGCAAAGCCCAAGTCCTGTTGGGAAAGGGTAAAACATTTTGCTCTCAGAGCTCGTGAGCACTGTGTGTATGAGGCTCCTCCATGTAACTGTGGGAGCTCCTGCTGGTGATGCATGTAGGAATATGGGGGAAATGACACCACAGATTGGGGGTACCTTGTGCGTTTTTTATAGCTTTCATGAACATGATAGAAATGCACCTGCATCCCCTCAGAGTTGCTGAGAGAGTGTTTGTAACACGAGGTCCATTTTTGGGAAATTATTGACTTGGCAATAATTGGTCCCTCCACATACATATCACTGGAACTTCCACTGGAAGACCAGGGAGCATCACATTCATGTTCCTTGAGACAGTCTGACCACTGCACTGTTTCACGGAGCCACCAAGTGATGCTGGGCAGGTCACAAATCCTTGGTAGCTGGACAGATCTGCAGTGGCCATAAGAGCCATGGATTTCTTCTTTTGAGCCTTCTGTAAAATGTTAGCAATTGATTCATTCATGTGGCAAATGTCTGATATGGGAATAGAAAAGTATTATGATAACCTTTGCTTTATGAAGCTGCTTGGAAGATCTACAGCTCCAGGAAGGGATTCTTGTCTTTCCCCTTCAGTGAAGAATGTCATAACAGAGGCGGAGGAGAGGATGTGTTTCACATCATCTGCTCTGCTGTAGGTAACAAGGAAGTTAACATTTTCAAGGAGCTGCAGAAACATAGGTCTTGGCTGATAATAGTAAGAATTAATATTTAATTAAACTTGGACATGGTATTAATCATGAGCATGTATTACGTGTTATATTCATTCATCACACTGTCATACCAGTACATAATAGATATTCTTTATGAGCACAAGAAAACAGCTTTAGCTTGAAAGGAAGCAGAAATGTAGAATTAAAAAAAGTCTTTATTTCAGCTTTTGACTAAAACTATTGATAATCTGAGAGATATAATTACTTTTTTCTCAGTGAATAAATAGCTGCTTAAATGCCCAAACCATCACATACATCAAATCACCAGCTACTGCGAAAATTTATGTGACTTCAATGACTTCTGTTAACATGCACAGATCTCTTTTATCTGACTCTATGGGCTGTTGGATGGAAATCCTGCTGAGCTATGGAACAGTGGATGGTGTGCTTCTCTGCCTCCCTTGCCATCAGCAAAACTGTCACCCACACTCTGGTTGTGGAACCTTGTTACTGGTAATGGTGTAGGGCAGGAGGAACCCAGCTTGACTTTCTGAACACAAGGGAAGTCATGGTAGCGGCAGATAGCAAAAAAAAAAAAAAAAAAAAAAAAAAAAAAATCTTTTGACATATAGGTTGAAGTAAATTGCTGCTGAATCACTGGGAGGGAAGAAATATTAGAGCTTAAGATGTCATTTTTACAGGCATAATTTTAACACTAATGGCCTTTAATAGCATATACAAGTCAGTGTAATGCTGTCAGCTGCAGCAGAGATAGAAGTACAGAAATGTAATAACTCAAACTGCTTGGAAGAATTGTTTTCCTGCTGTAGTTAATTAGCAATTGTGGTTTTCCTTTTCTGTTTTCTTATTCAACTTGTGAAAGGTAGCTAGTGTCTTGGTTGTTCTTTCCCATTTATTTATTTAATTTCTTCTTTTGCCCTTTCTGCAAATAAATGTAGTCTCTCGTGACTTGCAGTAACTTGCCATCAGGCATGTCACAGGAATCCTTTGATGTCCAGCACTGGGTAGCACTTTCCAGTAGGTGTCTTTCATATAGTAAACAATTAAATATGCCAGAGATATCTCCCTTGTGTTTAGAGTCAGAAGAGCAGTTGCACATAATGCCCGGAGTAGCACCATCTGTCCTAATAAGCAGTCACAAACATTACTGAAAATACCTGTTTGAATTCAAAGGGTTAATTAGCACCTGGGGGAAGGAAATCTGGGGGAAGGAAATCTGGAGATTAGGGGGAAATCCAGACTCAATAAGCTCTAGCAACCTGAGACAAAGTTACACAAGCATATCATAGCTGTTATGAGGAGGGCAGTTATGCTAGGAACAAAGGAAATACTTATTCTGTACTCATTAAGAAGTACAGATATCATTAAGATATTGAAATCTGACCATGATGGTCCTTGTTGTCTGATAGACGCAGAAAAATTTAGGTTGGAAGGAACCTCTGGAGGTCTCTGATCCAGCCTTCCTCTCAAAACAGGCCAAATTCAAACTTAAACCTGTCTTCATTTAATTAAGTCACTCAGGGTCTTACCCAGGTGAGTTTTGCATGTCTTTGAGGCTGGATACTCTCATGCTCAACTCGTGATCTAATGAAGGCAAGCTCCAAAACTAAGTAAATCCTGTTCCTGTAAATTATTCAGATTCTCATTCTCCCTCATGGGAGGGATGTGAGGGCTGTGTTAGTGGGGAGAGGAGTCAGACCCACTGACTGCTGTGGCTGTTAGCAGGAGCTCCATGAGAGCAACATTTCACCCAGTACTCTAAAAGAACAGTTACTGTCAAACATACCATTTCTTTGAAAGTGAAACTTTTCAGAGAAACAGGCTGATTTTCATGCACACAGAAAACCAGAAGAGAATGTAGAAATGATCAAATTGAAATAGTTGAATGCTTGTTTCAACATTTTTCCCTTGTGACATTTTGAATCTTGTTTCAAAGAGACTTTTGAAAAGTGTTTTCTTTTGACACTTTGATATTATTACAACCTTTTGTGTGGAATATATAATCTGTTTTTATCAAAATAAAGCAATTCAGTTGACTCCACATGACTTGTTAAAAAAAAAAGGTCTTAAGAAATTCTGGAAATTCTTATATTTCTGTGCCTGTTTAGCCCAAAACTTTTGGTTCCCACCCAAACTTTGATGAAATAAATTGCACCTCAAGGACATCTCTCATACATACGTATAAACTGTGTGTATGTGTGCGTTCATATATGTCTTTCTTTAATGTGCTGCAGACATCTCAGGTTAGTGGTCCAGCTTTAGTGTGTGTTTGCTAATTTAATGTCTCTAATTCATGATGCTACTGACCTCATAAAATCGACTTTTATCGGCACTCAGCAGTGAGGCTCTCTCTCTATGTCCACATTGTGCCTTGATGTGAGGCTTGACTCAAAAAAATCTCTGGCAGAGATCATTCATTCCCTTTATAAATAGTTTTTGAAACTGTGTCCTCTTCAACACAGTGCTGATATCCTGTGGGGCACCATATTGCAGAACTTCTGTGCTCACTAAATCTGGAAACTACATCTGCCAGATGATCATTATTAATTCACTAAGAAAATGTATACATTGGGCACATAGATGAGTTATATATTTTGTTATTTAGAAGAGCTGAGAATTTATGGGCACTTTGCGTGCCTCTGGACCCCAGTTCCCTGCCACAGCAGTGAGGACATCAGTACTGGCCTGTCTTTACAATGTGTGCTGAAATCCAAAACTCTATAACATCAAAACCATTTCATTGGGAACCTGAAGCAGACTGTCAGGTCAAAACCAAAAAAAAAGATCTTCAGTTGGATGATAGAGTTGCTGATTTGCTATGTTTATGGGCATATATTAATTTTGGAGCAAAGAGATTTACAGTTTTAGGTTTGATACACCTTCCTGCTGTAGAAATCTGATAGCAGGTGGGTAGCGTGGGGACGAAATAGACAGACGAGTTGATTTTGTATCTCTCTGAGAAGACATTTTCAGTTCACAGCCAGTTGTTATTTTACGAGCAGGGATCTCTTATACTATGAATATGTTGGATGGATCAGGAGGAGAAAGGAGAGCACAGGGCATATCCCCTTGATGGTGAAAATACTAGAAGCCCTATGCAGGTATTTGCCCTGTCCTTGTGGCAGAGGTTAAAGCCCAGCCAGGAAAGAGGCTGATTCCTGGGAGGTAGAAAGGGAGCTTGGTTACGGAAAAACATACTTAATTTTACTGACATTTTCACAGCTTTGAAACACTTCGTTAATTTGCAATAACAGCTTTTGCAGTCTTGTCAAAATAAATGTCCATTGCAGTTAGGAAAACCCCCAAATTTACTCAGTTGTGGCTAAGTAGAAGGAAGGTGGACTTATTAATTGTGGTAAAGAGGGCACAGACAGCTTTGTCACCAAGTGTGGAGGGAGAGGAGGGCTGAATGTGAAGTCACTCCCTTGCTCTGCAACCTCAGACAAACCACAGCATTAATTGGTGCCTCATTTTCCCTAGCTGGAAAACAGAAAATATTGGCTTTTCCCTGCAAGGCACTATGAAACCTTATTTACTCATGGTGTGAAAATATCCTGAGCTTCTTGTGTGAGAGGCAGTCAATGGAAATAGGCTATAGACTCATTTTTTTCTCTGTTTTGAATGGCAGGAGAAACAAGCTGGAGAAAATGCTTTTCATTTTTATTTTTAGAAGACCTGGAAGTCTCCTTTGATGATGGTTGTTCTCTCACTTGTCTCCTTGCAGGTACTATGCTATCTGCTGCCAGCCTCTGGTTTACAGGAACAAGATGACTCCATTGCGCATCGCTGTCATGCTTGGAGGGTGCTGGGTAATCCCGACATTTATTTCTTTTCTCCCTATCATGCAAGGCTGGAATAGCATTGGCATCATTGATCTGGTGAGTAGCTGAGGAGGTATACCAGCCTAGTATCGACTATATTCAGTGCTGTATATTCTTTCAAAAGCAATATGCAAAGGAAAGAAGGTAGGAGAGGCTGAAGGAGGAACTTCTTGTTATCAATGCAAAGGGGCTGCTGAATTTCTGGAGAGTGTGTTTAAGGGTGTTTGCAATGAGTCTGTCCGGGAAGGACTGTCACAAAGACAGTGGTGGCTCTGGGAGAGGATTTTAGCTGCGTCTGCTCATCGGTTCAGTGAGCAGTCCTCTAAAAACGTGCCAAGCCCCAGCTGGCTCCCAACAGGCACCTCGGGAGCCCTTGGTGCCCCTTGGCCTCTGCAGCTCTCGGGGAGTGCTGGCCACTGCCAGCTCAGCCCAACAGTCCCTCCTTGCCACGCTAGCAACCTTTGGAGAGCCAGGAAACCCAGACTTCCCCAGAAGGGATGGTGCTTTGGGCCAGTCCCATCAATATCCCTTGTCCTGGCGTAAGCCTTGAAAGGGGGAGAAGGTGAAGTTCCCCTGTGCAAGTCATTTCAGCGAGAGTCAGTTTTCCCCACCACAGTCTGGCTTCGCTTGCAGGATCCTCTCTACAGGGCAAGGAGTTGAGAGCTGCAGATCTGCTCTCTTTCCAAGCTGGAGATGCAGGAATTAAAAAATGGCAAACTGTGAAAACACCTTATTTAGAAGAGCTTATTTAAAGAGATACAGCATCTTCTGTGCCAAGTCTCAGTCAAGGAGCTATGAATACTTGTTGGCTCATTGAGAATAACAGGTGCAAGCTGCCAAGCCTCTAGACAAGGCGATAAAGCCAAAATTGCTTCCAGAAAAGCACCTTTAGGACATGCAGCTTGTAGAAAATGGAGATGCATTTTGTTTATATAACAAACCATGTCAGGTATCTGATTTCTTCCAGTCATTTCTTGCCCTCACCTTTTCAGAAAAGACTCAATACCCAGCTGGCTGTACCAGCCTTTCTAAATACCAGTGCAAGCCCTGCCCTTCCTTGTAACTTGATGGTGTTCACTGTGCAGATTTCAGTAGCTGCATGCTGAGCGGTAGTGCAGAGTTCAAACACCACCTAAAAATCTTGTCTGTCCCAGTTATGCCTCCTGCTCCCCCAACTCACATGCAAGACCCCCTTCTTCTGCTGTCTCTGTTTCATCACAAGTCATTGACCAGATCTCATGCTGCGGACTCAACCTGCAAACTTCTCCTGCTTGGTCTGCTGCCCACAGTCCCTGTGTCTGGGAAGTTCAGTGTCACACCCCAGCCTGGAGGTGCACCCCAGCTGCTGCAGCCCAGTCCCTTCCCTGTTCTTCTGGTCCTTCCCTAATAACCCTATGGGATATAGCTGGGTGAAAGTTGTGCATCCTTGGTGTAAAACCATGCCCTGATGAACAGAGCACTGAGCACTGCAAAAAAGCATGGCACTAAGTGAAGTTATTCCCCTTTGCTGTGTCTGAACTGGAGAGTCAAGCTGATTTTCACTGGACAGGTTGAAGAATGCTCTAGGATGCTGGAGCTGCAACGTGGGCTGGTCCAGCAGACCTGGGGACCAGCAGGGCTGGAGACCCCATGGTGTGAGCACAGGAGAAGCAGCAGTGGGTAAGGCACGTGCCATTGATGGGAGAAGGGAAGGAGGAGAGAGAATCAGAAAGTGATGGTGGACTATCCTGGGAAACAAATTGCTGGTATTGGAGGAGAAGCACTGAACTTATTTCCTTCTTCTTTGTCCTTGTCCTTCCTCCTGCTGCCCCAGATACAGCAAAGGCAGTTCAACAAGGCTTCCAACTCCACGTACTGCATATTCATGGTCAACAAGCCATACGCCATTACCTGCTCTGTGGTGGCCTTCTATATTCCCTTCCTCCTGATGGTGCTGGCCTACTACCGCATCTACGTCACGGCCAGGGAGCATGCCCGCCAGATCCGGGTGCTGCAGCGCGCGGGGGCCCCCACCGACGGCCGGCAGCACCACCCAGACCAGCACAGCACACACCGCATGAAGACTGAGACCAAAGCTGCCAAGACGCTGTGCATCATCATGGGGTGCTTCTGCCTGTGCTGGGCCCCCTTCTTTATCACAAACATAGTGGACCCTTTCATAAACTACACTGTGCCGGGGAAGCTGTGGACAGCTTTCCTGTGGCTGGGCTACATCAATTCAGGGTTGAACCCTTTCCTCTACGCCTTCCTGAACAAGTCTTTCAGACGTGCCTTCCTCATCATCCTGTGCTGTGGTAATGAGCGATACCGAAGGCCTTCCATCTTGGGGCAGACAGTCCCCTGTTCCACCACCACAATAAATGGATCAACTCATGTGCTAAGGTGAGTGTTTCTCCAATGCTCAAAATGCCTGGGATCACTAGAAAGAGTACTTCTCATGAATTATTGTAAAGGATTGGGCTTGCTTTCCATTTGAAATATCTGATGGATTAACTGTTTAAAAAGGGAGGGGGCAAGAGAAGCACCCAGAAATCCTTAGGGTGCTCAGACAGCCTGGGCTTGTGCATAACATGTAAGTGTTGGCATGCATGGTTTCTCTGGAGGTGTGTTCAGGAAAGAGTTGGGACAGTACAGAAGTCATGTATGCATTTTGACAAGCCCTGCTCTTTTGTCTTGAGAGGAACAACTTGATGCCACAGGGAGCACCTTGGGGCAGTCTGCCTACTCCATCTTCTTTAGCAAAGGGATTGTGACAGCCCCATTGCCCCTTCTCAGGTTCTGCCTTTGTGGCCCCACCAGCCACTGCTGCATCTTCTGAACTAATGAAAGGCAAAGGATGAAATTCCCCAAATGCCCTGACCCTGCTGGGGCACTTCAATGGCTGTCTGGGAGGATGGGGTGCTTGCCTTTTTTTTTTTTTTTTAGCAGCTCAGAAAATGCTGGGGTGTCTGCCTCTTACCAAAACCCAGTCAAAGCCTGCCCCTGCTCGAGGCAGCAGCACCCAGCTTTGCAGGAGCCCTGGGAGCTGAGTGTGCCTCACAGGGGCTACAGGATGTAATCCTGTTGGTTGGCATTTTGCGGTCCTGGTGCATTTGAACCCCACACCTCACCCCCCCCACTCCTTCCCCCCCACTTCATTTTGCACCACAGTGTTCATTGCAAGAGGAGAGCGTGTGGACTGTGCACTGCTGGGGTGCAGAGGGGTTTGGAGGGCTCTGTGGCCTGAGACACCCTCTGCTCTCTTCTCCTCAGTGAGAGGAGAGGTAGGAGGCAGAGCACAGGAGGAAGGCAGGGAAGAAGAGCTGTCTTCCTTATTATCAGAAAAAACTGCAGTCTCTGAAAAAAACCATGGGTGTTTCTATGCAACTGTCTAGAGGAGATTTGGTTCTTTTGGTAGATGGATTCATGGCTCTTCACATGCAGATAAGGACTTGGTAACTGTATTTGTGTTCAGAGCTGAACCCGTTTGGATATTTAACACAGACACTGAGCACTTCCCAGCTGAGTCTTATCTGCTGGTTTGCCCCAAGCTCCTTTCTGCAGTGATCTCTGAAGTTTTGGAAAGAGTCCTTGACTGTATAACGGATGGGAGACAGGGCAGGGCTTGTCAAAACCTTGAGACAGACCTCTCAAGCTTTTTAAGTCATGAAGGACATTACAATGTATTTATCTTATACTGATTAAAAACTGTTTGGGGGCTATGGTCCCAGAGTCCTCTGTCTGTGATGGATGTGTGGCACTGTGCCACCTCAGCCTATATTTCTGTCAGAGCTATGCTCCTGAGGACAAGACAGATGCTCCTCTGCTGTGGTTAAGAGGATTGTGAGAGCAGTCCTTGTTGGACACTGCGTGCTGTCCTGCAGCGAGCCAGCCGGTACCGCTGTCTGGGGAGCTGCAGGGAGCAGTCCTTGGAACGCGCCCCTTTGTGAGGAGGAGCGAGCTGCTAACCGGGGTGGCTCCAGAAGGTGCAGGGGTCTGCCCAGTGGCCTAAACACAAAGAAGGAGGAGTGGTGTCTATTTTGGCTAGTAAGTACAGCAACAGGATGCTTTTTGTTAAGTATACGAGGCAGAGGGACAACAGGGAGCCTCTCAGGTGTGGATTGGAGATGTAGAGGGCAGGGAGCACATCAGCCCAGAAGGTGAATTGCTTCAGTCCATCCTGATGTTTGACCTTCAAGTGTTACAGATGGCAGTGCTGATGCCTCCTCGTGTCTCCAAGTTGTCTCACTGCTTTTGTACCGTTATCTCTCTGTGAAACCTCATTGTCCTGCCAGTGCCCTGCGGGACTGATAGGCTCAAACCAGCACTGCCCTGGGGACATTGGGCAGTGGAGATGCGCTCCAGAGCCAGCAGCTAAGGAGGCTCCGCACACCTCCAGGAGGGCTGAGCTGCTGGTGGTTTCCTTCTGTCTCTGCTGAGTGTTCCTGAGCTAACAGACTCCTCATTTTGAGACTCTTTTTAAACATACAGATTTTAAACATATCGCTGTCCCTGTGATGGCCAAAGCAGATGTGAAGAGTCCCCTTCCCTCCAAATCTAGAGGTGGCCATGGTCTGCGCCTCCCTGGCCAACTAGAGAGGCTCTGGTGGGCTGCGGTAAATGGTGGATCCCACCATGAAGCTGAGATCAGGCTTTCCTCATTTCTAGTTTCTCTCTCCCACTTGTATCACTCTGCTCCCACTTACAAGTTATCCACGGAAATGTTTCACAGTCCTGTCAATGTAGATGTGACAGCCATAGCAAAAGGCCCCATAAGAACCAAACCTGCACAGGGCATCTTGTCCACTTCTAGCTTTTATGAGTATTTTTATGGATAAGAGCATGCTGCCTCTCTTCAGCGTGCTACAAGCACAAGTCAGATTATCTCCTTCCAGCTCTGCAGAAGGCACTTGCTTCCTGCAGCCGCATGCCCTCCTCGTGCCCGAGGGATGTGGCTCTGCACATAAGCGCTGCAGAAAGCAATTATTTTCTGTTTTCCTCAGCTTTGTAACTGATGACGAAAGTGTGACTTCTTTCCCTGGTGCAGATTATGCACTGATGATGACAGAGGTGTGGGGATTAAAGGAAAACTAAGTGTAGGCTTTGGACAGTTAACCTCACTTGAGGGATTTGTATTTCTTCAGTGCTTCTCTCTTAGATGCAAAAAACACTGGAGTCAGCATGAATGGAAGAGAAATTAAGTGAGGCAGGTTCTCTCAATATATAACATACATTTGCTTTCCTGGCATGGAAATACAAGGGGTTTGTGCCCAAGGGCTGAAATATTGAAACCTTCCTGTATGGTTTGGCTTCATATCAACCCAACTGAGAAGCTGCGTAGGGGCTGGACCTGGTTCACACACTTCTTTTCCAACCTCAAAGTTGTTTCTTCCTGACCAAGAGTTTCTGCAAATGAGGAAGTTGTTCAAATGGGATTTTACAGCTGCTTTTTGTACCCTGGCAGGGAGAGCAGTGAAGAGCAGGACAGACCTTGTGCTGAATCTAGGGCAGATTTCCTCCCCGAAAAACCGCAGAGATTTGCAAGTTTGTATTAAGCTGACGTGAGTCATTTAGCCTCAGAGGGATTCAGGAGTGGTTGACAGTAGGACTGTGATTTCTAACTCCTCTCTACTTCCAATCTTGAGAAGATCTGAACTTTCCTTCAGCTCTACCTCTCCGAACCATTCTGGTTTTGCTCACAATCATCTCAGTGGTACGTTTGCAAGTGCAAAGAATATGTTTGTCATAGTTAAAATTCAGGCTTTTGCTCTTGGGTGTGTCTGACCTGTGAGAATGCCTTGCAGGGAGGGAAGACATTTCTTCTTTTTTTCTTCTGATAACTTTAGTGTCAAAATGTTCTGACATCCCCATTTTGGGATTTTTCACATTTATATTAGGAATGGGAAAAAAAGAAGAAAGAAGAGCAAAGCGCGATAAAACACGGCAGTGAGAAGAGGCAGACGCCCTCACCACACACAGACTGAGAGACCGCTTGGGAGACAGTTCTCATTCTTTCTTTGGTTTTAATTTATTTTTCAAGTGATCTATGAAGACTATGGTGCTCTGGGTGACCCAGACAGGGAGATACTTTTTACAGCACACTTGGGGCGAGACACAACCCCAGTGGCAATGGGGCGAGCGAGCAGACTGCACAGTGGCTCGACCATGATGTGAGGGTGACCACAGCTTGCTTAATCCCCTGGAAACCACCCCACTTTGTCCCAGAGTCACGAACCAGAAGATGGGAAAGGATTTCCTGTCACCCATTTTGTTCTTGAACTCTCCATCAGCTGGTGTGAGAGACACCCATCCCCCGGGCGGGCTGAGACGTGGCACAAAACGTGTTTTGGAGATGTCATGAACAGCCAGGAGATAGGATTTTTTCAGAGCTGGATGTATGTGTACGATGGGAAAGATTATTAGAATTAAATATTCAGCTTTGAAAGAAAATTTTGATTTGCCTGTTTTCCAAGTTTGCTTTCTGCAAGTGTAGGAACTGCCAGAACCCCCTTTTACTGCTGGATATTCTTCTATTTCAATTCTGATGTGTACCATCAGCCGCAAAATTCAGGCAGGACACATGCAAATAGTGAATTGAAATCTACAGGTGTGGCTACAATCCAAAATTCATGCCCTATTCATTTTTCAATGGCTGAGATTGCAACTCACATGTCCTATACAAAGGTTTGTTTCTCTGGTTGCAGCAGAAATTGTGTAATTCATTATAAATATTTGCAATTCATAGTTCTAATAACCTACAGTTTCAAATGTCATTCATTGAAAGGACTTGAGAATCATTCTGAATAATGAGTGAATAGGAGAATTTACAATAAGCACTCAGCTAGCTTATGGCAAAAATTAGTACAATAATTAACTTCAATAGATACGGGTTTCTGGATGGCTGTAGCGTGTGTTCAGAAGTTCTGTGCACCATGAAACTGGAAGCAAAATGCCATAATCATCTGAAAAAAGCTACCTTCCCCTTTAAACATATTGCTTGCATATCTTTTGTCATGCATAGATATTTATTCAACACAAACCAACAAACTTGTGTCTTCATGAACTCTTGTACTGCATAAGTGGATGGGAACCCAGATCAGCATTGCCTGATTTCTTGGATAAAACAAGTCTTAAAATTTTGTCACAACAAAGAAGATGACTTTGGGTAAAATATAATTGAGCAATGATCAGAGTAGACGAACTCTGGAACATTTGGGTCAAGGAGGTTGCATTGGTATATTCCCCATTTCCTCTCAGAAGTGCACTGTTCAGCACAGTACAGTGTATTAGTCTCTTCAGGGAAGGCTGTAGCAAGTGGTTAATTTACTCATTTTCTATCATAGAGAGGTCTTCTCAGACAGGGTTGATGCCAATTTTATTTCTCCAAAGTAAAACACATCCTGATTC